TTCAAAATCTAAATAGGTAATATCACTTATTCGAATAGATGATATCATCTATTCGAATAGGTGATATCACTTATTCAAATAGGTGATATCACTTATTCGAATAGGTGATATCACCTATTCAAAATCTGAATAGGTGATATCACCTATTCGAATAGGTGATATCACCAATTGAATAGGTGATATCACTTTTTGGCAGTAAATACCAAAACGGCGCCCCATAGACTGAATGGGGAGTGTGTGTCGTAAAAGGCGACTGAACATGCTGAATAGGGACCCGTAATGATCTGAGTTACTTAGAGTACGTCCTCATCGTCCCTTGCGGGTTGTAAGATTGTTTATAATTTTACGTCCCGCTCAAGAATATTTCACTTATATTGCGTGTTGTAAGAAGCAACTGAATGGGACAGTTCCCTCGGATGAGACGGAAAAAACCGAGCTCCTGTGTCACAGCAGGTGTGTCACGATAAAGATCCCTTAATTCCTGCTCAAAGGCCCTGAGCGCCGAGCATAGGTCCAAATTTTGCAGGCTTATACCGGCAATGGAGACGTCTCCATTATGGCATATAAGTAAAAAATTCTTGAGCGGGACGTCTATGGAAGGGAATTACCGCCAAAAGTCTATGTATCTTGCTTTTATTCTTATTCTGCCTACTTCTTTATGCTTTGTTATTATTGTAATTATATGTCACTTTATTGCTTTCATATTCGTCTTTACTATATTTCACTTCGAACTTTTATCATTCTTCATTTTGTCCTTACTTCTATGTTGCTTTATTCTTGTAAATTCATTCTACTTTCTTTTAAACTTAATCAGTTTCTTAAATAAATTATTCAGTCACGCAAACAATGAAGCATATTCAATGAAGACGAATGGAAGTTGTCAAACCGTCAAAATTTAGTGCGCCATTATAACGCTAGGTGGTGTGGTGTTCGCTACGAGTGTTGGTAAAACTAGGTAACCAAACCCGGGTCGGGTTATTTGAGATTCTTCAATACGCTTTAGTACTTTAATTATCAATCGAACTTCTGAAGGCCGGATCCAATAATCCGATCCAATAATGGAAACTCCATATTTATTTTCTCTGGGCACACAGGAATAGCGGCCTCTTTTTTAGACATAACTTTATACTATACTGAATATGTTCATTGAAAGGCCGACCCACTTTTGTAAGAGTAAGGGTCAAATAAGTTATAATGTTGTACGTATAGTAGGAAGAAAATTTAAATTTGATTCTATAGAAGAAGTTGAATCTAACCCAAAACTCACCCCGCCTTCGAATTAGGATTTCAATGGCATCGGAAGCAAATTGAAAGTGGGGGGGGGGGGGGGGGGCTAAGTGTAAGAATTTTTTAAGACCTTCAAAAAAAAAAAAAAACTGACAGGCAAAAAAAAAAAAATGTCCATTTTCCGAACTCAAATATTCAAATTCATGGGGGGGGGGGGTTAGGTTCGAACTCCAGTGCCAAAGTTTTTTTTTTCTCCATACACCACCACTTTCCCCATTTTAAACCTATACTGCATCGTGTCCATGGCAAGTGGGGGGTCTAAACCTATGCAGGAACGTCTGTACTAAGTCTATCTCTGGAAAAAAAGTGGAGGCTAAGCCCCCCCCCCCCTTCCACGGTTCAGACGCCTAGTATGTATTTTCAAGTTTGGACATTTACTTAGTTTTTTTTTGCGCTTATCAAGTTGTTTTCAGTTGTACTTTAATATGTATTCTCTTGTTGCCCCCTCCCCACTTTCAAAAACGTACAATGCTACGTCACTGTTCTCTCGCCTGAAAAATATAAGTCTATTAAAGTTATTTGTTGAATAATTGAATTCCAGTTTAATTGATATAAAAATGTTCAATATTTTGATACTAGTTAACCCTCATAAATTGGGCTGTTTTTCAGAGCCTTCCACTGAACTGAACTTCATTTCACGACAGATAGTAACTGCTCATGTGCGTGATTCTAGGGATAGGGCTTTTCAAAGGAGTGAGGAGCATTAATATGGGTAGGCAGGCGCGGATCCAAACATTTTTTTCCAGGGGGGAGGGGGGTCCACCCCAGTCCAAAAAAAAAAATTCCAATCCCAGAAATTTCTTGACGAGCATGAAAAAAACCTAAACTCGCCCAAACGTCAAAATCCTATTTCGTAGGGAGCGATTAACTTTTTTGCTAGTATATACATTTTTAAACCTTGTAAATTCCAGGGGGTCCTAACACCCCACCCCCCTCTAGATCTGCGCATGGTAGGCGAAGTAGGAACTAGGCTTCATGCATCCAGACATACTAGAAACTCCCTGGTCTTATTTTCAGCGTTAATATTTTATATTAAAATAGCAATTAATTTTCAATAAAGAAAAAAATATCTTTACATATAGTACGCATCGTATTTGTGATCAGCCAGGAGAGCTAAAAAAAATCTTAGAACTCGAAAATTCTGTTTGGTGGTGGTGAGGGGGGAGGGGTCGTCAACTTTTTTTCAGTACTACATTTTACTCATGCCAATAAATACATGACTATTAATATATTTTTTAATAAATTGACTATTAGTACTGCAACAAAAAGGGTAAGGGATGGGGGCAACAGGCCTTTCCCTGAACTTTTCCAGTAGTAAAAATTTACGTTTAGGAAAATGTTTCATGGCCACCCACCCCTCTACCGGCGAAACGTACCACGTAGGAGGTCGTCCACCCGGAAGTCAGTATATATTTTGAGACTTTGGTGGTTTGATTGTACATTGTAGAATGTCCCTTGCGAGAATTTTTAACTCAAAAGGAGAAGCCACATCTTGCCGGTGGAGAGCTGCAAATTTGTCCTATATACTTGGCACTTATAGTCATTGAGCAGTGAGGGATCTTTTTTCGTGCCAGCTCCTAAAATGTACTGCGACACGGGACCTCGGATAACAGGTCTAGATCTCATCCGATGGATTGAACTCCACGTCCTACACTGGGATCCTTACACACGATGTATTGATCGACTCCTTACTACTGTACTTCGTGACTCTAGAGCAGAGGCAGTAACCACGCCACGCGGGCGACTTAACCCGGGGGGGATCATTATCCATATGTACTCGTGAAGATTATCCATGTTTAACTATTGGTTAAAATGATTTAATTTTAAAACACTTTTAAAATGATATTATCTAAATATTTATTCATACATGTATCATGTGTATAGGACGGATTACTTTTCTTCAAAAACTGAAAACGTTCGTATATATAAACATCGTTTTACGATAAAAAAAACTATTCGGGGGAGGGGTTGCTATGAAAGGGGGGGGCGAGTTGCTATATTTAGCGAGATTCCCCACGGAAGACTAGCTATACCCCGGGGGAAGTTCCACGTTATAGTCTTCCGAATGAAACATCACTATGTATATGTAGTCAGTCTTCCAGGGGAAATCTTACCATCTAGCGAGACTTCCGAGGGAATGGCTTGTATCGGTTACATACCTGAACTAATAACAAACATCATTCATTTGAAAATTTAAGTTCGATTGATAAAGTATTAAGGCAGAAAATTGGGAAAAAAACTCGAATAACCCCGGACCGGTTTGCTTACCTTATTTTACCAACACTCTTGGCGAACACCCCTGCCACCTAGCGTTATAATGCGGCACTAAATTAGGACAACTCGTATTCGTCTTCATTGAATATGCTTCATTGTTTGCATGTTTGAGTTAACGTTCGTAATAGAGATCATCATTTAAGATACTGTATCAATTAAAAAGAAAATAAAATGACTTAATAAGAATAAAGAAACATAGAAGTAAGGACGAAATGAAGAAGGATAAAAGTCAAAGTGAAATGTAATAAAGACGAATATGAAAACAATAAAGTGACATATAATTACAATAATAACAAAGCATAAAGAAGTAGGCAGAATAAGAATAAAAGCAAGATACATAGACTTTTGGCGGTAATTCCCTTCCATAGACGTCAAACAATCAATTACCAATCAAATAACGTTAACTCACAATACTCATCTGATGCTTCAATAGAATTTTAACTTCTGAATGTAAATTAATATAAACAGTGGTAAATACGAAACTGACTTTTTCCAAGAAAAAGATTTAATTCAATAGGGGTATTGGGAAGATCGTACCCGTCGATTCATTCTGAATAGTTTTCACTGTACTAAACATGCTAAATGCAGTTCTAAAATGATCGATCGCCGTAGTTCGAATTTTGCTATGGGACATGGGGACTGGTCCTTCGGATGAGGCCGCATCTGTAAAGTTAATCGAAGCCCATGTCACAGCTGTGGCACGATAAAGATCCCTCTCTGCTCAAAGGCCCTGAACGCCGGCACTCACTGAAAAATTGCTCAGGTGGCTATAATCAAACAAATAAATGATCGATCTTGATCCAGCTGCTTGTTTTGTGTTTCTTCCCCCCCCCCAAAAAAAAAAAAATAAATAAAATCTAGAGGAGGCAATTGCCTCCGTTGCCTCAATGGTAGTTACGTCCCTGAAACAATTAATGTTAAACTAAGGATATGTAATTTCCCTTACTTAGAAATGTTAAAGTAGTGTTTGCTTATTAAGCAATGGAAAAAATGCACCCGCCCCCTGATAAACGATATTTTTGGGGGGAGGGGGTTTCATTTATTTTCCTTATTTTTGTCATTAAAAATTTCAGGCAGTCCATCCTTTTTTTCTCTGACCCCCCCCCCCTTCCCCCTTTCAAAAATTATAATATAAATATACTTAGTCCCTGTGTTGTTTAATCTTTAAAAATCGTCGTTTTAACTACGTGTATGTGCAAAACTTTCATCGCCCACCTCTTTAAAAATTTCTAGATCCTAGATCCATACCTGGTTGTAGCAAAAACATGATAAGAATACTTAAACTTTTATGATCTTTTGAGTTAGGAGTCAGAAAGACTACGTTTATCGCTTGCCAATATCCGGAATTTATTCGACCAGCTTGATTTATTCTACCTTTACCGTGTCAATTTGATATCCGGTGATGTGTTCGTTCTGGTAAAGGTAAAAAGTCGTGATGATCCGCAATTTAAATAGATGAAATGCACAGTTTACCGGGAAGTGCTCGGTTTAAGAGTACCCCTGCAGGACGAGTTGATGCCACACAGAAGCCCTCTAATACCGGGGAGGAAATATCCGGGCGGAAAGAGGAAATAGCCAAGAAGGAAAGTCAACAAAAACGCCTCTACTTTTACCAGAGCGAGCTTCAAAACATGGCCCGAGAATTACCGGGGTACATAGACATAATATCTGTGATAACAGAGGGCAATAATTTGTAAATAAGGGATATACAATGCATTTCTTTTTTGGAAACTTGAACACACGGATTATTTTCTCTCCCCCCCCCCCCCATGTTCTCTAATCAAGGGTTACTTCACCATTTTTATTTATACATGTAAATAACGTATTTTTCTGTGACACACTCATATTGTGTTAATTGAAGAATAAAATTTAACCTTAAATAATTTACAGTGAGCAGGGCTCGACATTTACTTTTTTTCCTACTTGTCCATTCGGACAAGTGACCAAGATATTTACTTCTCCGAACTTCAACTTCACTTGTCCGAAAACTTTTCAGTGAATGTCTTGTTATGTCAACTTATGTCAACTTCAAAACAATAAAAAAAATTAAATGTGCTTGATTAATAAGCATGTTACTTGATATTGATAAATATGACAAACAGATATAAAACAAAATTTTATCTAGACTTCCTGTCCTGACAACAGCATAAATGTTCGCAAATGAATCTGTAATATCAATCAAAAATATTCTAAACTCTCAAACGTCGTAAAATCCACGCTATACAATACTATGGCTGCAATTAGTGAACATTGATCCCGAACAAATGTGAACTTACATAGCGATTGATATCGGGATCGAAATTCAGGTTTATGTACTGCTTTCGTTTTTATTATTCGATAAACTTTACAATAGTTGTTTTCTATGATTATTATTATTTGAAGACTTCTTTACATAGAAAAATCACTTGTCCAATCGGACAAGTGCCCAGCAATATTCACTTGTCCTATATTTTTTTTCATTGGTACCAGACAAGCGGACAACCGTTAATGTCGAGCCCTGGTGAGTGCCCTATAATACTTTTAAAAAAGAAATAAAGTGGAAACTTTGAAAGACGATTCGAAATCTTGGCACTTCAGTGGGAAATACTCAAAGAAAAGGAGGATAGATTAGCTACTTACCAACTGAAGACTTCAGAATTGATCAATATATTATCTAATTTTTCTTTCACTGTAATTTCAGTCTTTTTAAACCTGAAAAATAACTTTTTCAACATGTTCAATGGTCACCAAATTGATAAGAATAGGAAATCCTCTCTATCTTTTTTATTTATTTATTTTTTTTTAGTCCCCTACCAGTGAAACCATGGGGGACTATAGGTTTCCTCTGCGTCCGTCTGCCTGTCTGTCAGTCCGTCTGTCTGTCCCCGTCAGTCTGTCGTACTTGGTTTTCCGCACTTTTTTTCTAAACGCTTGCAGATATTGAGCTGAAATTTGGTATGCCAGTGTATCTTAATGAGTTACAGATCAAGTTTGAATTTTACTTTGCTTCATTGATTTTTGTCAGAATTATGGCATTTTGAATATTTGTCATAATCGTTAAATTATGATCGGGTTTGAACTGCACTAACTTCCGATTGTCGACAAAAATATGAAGTGAGGAAAAGACGGTGAAGAAATGAGATAAATTTTCGCCTTAATGTGGATTATTTTATTACTTTTAAGGCATTTACAAAATCTTTCAGTTTTACCTTGGACATGACTTTTAATTTGCTTATTATAAAATGACATCCTGAAGAAAAATGGGAACCCGGTAGGGGACATGTATTGCTTATGCAATACTCTCAGAATGCTTGTTTTTTATGAGAAACAAAATTTTGGACAAAGAAAAAAGAAAGGGTACAAGTTGTTCCTCTTAAAGCACTGTGAAGTGGAATACACAAAAGAGTTGCGAGTGTAGACTCAGTACCATGGATATTCTGATTGAATAATTAACTATTTTGATTATTAATAATGATAATCATGTAATTTAAAAGCTTTAAGTCTTTCAACTCAATTATTGAATGCATTTAATCTTGATCTGCAATGATGGTAACCATATTTTATATTGAACAGTGTTGGATTATCTTAATTCTAATGGAAATCCAGTGAAAAAACAAACAGAAACCAAAGAAATAGTATTAAATATATTATGCTATGTATTGATTATCTTTCAGTAAATATCAGCAGCGACTCCCGTATGACCTTCTGTCAGGCCTGGCTAGCTCCTTGCTGGATGGTACGGTGTTTGAAATTGTCCGCAGTCTACAGGAAGTCCAACAGTTAGAGGAGAGACATCTCCACACACAGAGAGTCAAACTCGTCAATGATCACAAAGATTAGACACATACACACAGCGAGTCAAACCGGTCAATGATCACAAAGGTTAGACACACACACACAGCGAGTCAAACTAGTCAATGATCACAAAGGTTAGACACATACACACAGCGAGTCAAACTAGTCAATGATCACAAAGGTTAGACACATACACACAGCGAGTCAAACTAGTCAATGATCACAAAGGTTAGACACATACACACAGCGAGTCAAACTAGTCAATGATCACAAAGGTTAGACACATACACACAGCGAGTCAAACTAGTCAATGATCACAAAGGTTAGACACATACACACAGCGAGTCAAACTCGTCAATGATCACAAAGGTTAGACACATACACACAGCGAGTCAAACTAGTCAATGATCACAAAGGTTAGACACATACACACAGCGAGTCAAACTAGTCAATGATCACAAAGGTTAGATACATACACACAGCGAGTCAAACTCGTCAATGATCACAAAGGTTAGACACACACAGCGAGTCAAACTCGTCAATGATCACAAAGGTTAGACACACACAGCGAGTCAAACTCGTCAATGATCACAAAGGTTAGACACGTACACACAGCGAGTCAAACTCATTAATGATCACAAAGGTTAGACACACACAGCGAGTCAAACTCATTAATGATCACAAAGGTTAGACACATACACACAGCGAGTCAAACTCGTCAATGATCACAAAGGTTAGACACATACACACAGCGAGTCAAACTCGTCAATGATCACAAAGGTTAGACACACACAGCGAGTCAAACTGGTCAATGATCACAAAGGTTAGACACACACAGCGAGTCAAACTCGTCAATGATCACAAAGGTAAGACACACACAGCGAGTCAAACTCGTCAATGATCACAAAGGTTAGACACACACAGCGAGTCAAACTCGTCAATGATCACAAAGGTTAGACACGTACACACAGCGAGTCAAACTCATTAATGATCACAAAGGTTAGACACATACACACAGCGAGTCAAACTCGTCAATGATCACAAAGGTTAGACACATACACACAGCGAGTCAAACTGGTCAATGATCACAAAGGTTAGACACGTACACACAGCGAGTCAAACTCATTAATGATCACAAAGGTTAGACACATACACACAGCGAGTCAAACTCGTCAATAATCACAAAGATTAGACACATACACACAGCGAGTCAAACTAGTCAATGATCACAAAGGTTAGACACATACACACAGCGAGTCAAACTCGTCAATGATCACAAAGGTTAGACACATACACACAGCGAGTCAAACTGTCAACAATCACAAAGGTTAGACACATACACACACAGCGAGTCAAACTAGTCAATGATCACAAAGGTTAGACACATACAAACAGTGAGTCAAACTTGTCAATGATCACAAAGGTTAGACACACACACACAGCGAGTCAAACTCGTCAATGATCACAAAGGTTAAACACATACACACAGCGAGTCAAACTAGTCAATGATCACAAAGGTTAGACACATATACACAGCGAGTAAAACTGGTCAATGATCACAAAGGTTAGACACACACAGCGAGTCAAACTGGTCAATGATCACAAAGGTTAGACACGTACACACAGCGAGTCAAACTAGTCAATGATCACAAAGGTTAGACACACACAGCGAGTCAAACTCGTCAATGATCACAAAGGTTAGACACATACACACAGCGAGTCAAACTAGTCAATGATCACAAAGGTTAGACACATATACACAGCGAGTCAAACTAGTCAATGATCACAAAGGTTAGACACATACACACAGCGAGTCAAACTCGTCAATGATCACAAAGGTTAGACACACACACACAGCGGGTCAAGCTGGTCAATGATCACAAAGGTTAGATACATACACACAGCGAGTCAAACTAGTCAATGATCACAAAGGTTAGACACATATACACAGCGAGTCAAACTCATCAATGATAAACTTTATGGTAAGACATATGTATTCAAAATCATCAATGACCACAAGTAATCCTATGGCTTGAAATCTTAATACTTTTGAAATTTCTAGGCAGCAGATTATCACACTGTCTAGGCAGTTATCACACTCTCTACCCTACTTTTGATGAGGTTTGTGTACTTAACAGTCAGGTAAGGGTGAAACGTTTACTGAATTTTGTAAACGTTTAAACGGATAGCAGTAAACGAAACGGTACCGTTTAAACGGGGGATATTCTATGTTGGATTTTTATGGCTACTTACTCATGAAACTCGAATTTAATAATCAATTCTTTCACTTTAATATAAGTATTAGTTGTTATTACAATTTCATTGTTGGTCATTATGACTTAAACGTAAGAATTTGAGGCGCATTAAACTCGTTCACTGTCTACCTCATCACCCAACTGCTTGTTTTGTTTGGCTACATATACCGTACGTAGAAAATAGAATTGTAAAGATGGATCTTTTAATCACGAAAAAAGTAAAATGATACCTGCTGACTGTATCGAAACACTTTTCAAAGACTTGTGAAAAATGTATTATATTTATTTAATCAAAATATATTTTTATATTTCAAGTGTCGTAAAACATCACTAGTATTGGCAACTCGGAAATCGGAATTAAATATGTAAGACCATATCGGGTTTTAGATATTTTTATTCAATATGTTTCCGGTTTAGATTGTTGCCTATCAAATGGTCAAAGACGGTGTTTCTTTTGTAAATTATGAAATAAAACAATTTGTTTGTGTTAAACTTTATTTCTGATAGATATTGATAATGACCGTGTAAACGTTTACTCAAACTGTAAACGTTTAGAGCATATAATCGAAACGTCGCCGTTTACACGTGTAATCGTTTCACCCTTACAGTCGGGGCATGATGGAATCAAGTTGTGCTTATTGTGTTATGAAGTGATGGACATTGTCATGCATTGTATGACTGACTTGTGTAAGAATTATACAATACCTGACTAGGTCTGTATAGTCTTAAGAGAAGGTAACTGTAAATTCCTAAATAATATGAGGAATTAATTATCACTTAATTTCTTGAGAAGCACCACTCGCAACATTAAATTACTCAACTTTATTTTTATGGTGCTGAAATCAATCGTCCCATCATGAATTCATGTTCTTGTGTCAGATTTGACATTAAAGTGCCCTTTCATGATAATAAGAACTCGTAAAAAATAAGGAATCTACAGTAGTCAAAAGGACACTAAACTCAAAAGTTGTTAACCTTTTAAATAATTAAGCAGAAATTTTATAATTTTCACTCCAAGTCTTGTCTTGAGCAAATTTATATTCTGTTACAGCATATCAGATATATTTCAACAATTTAACAACTGTTAAAAAAAAATGGAAATTTATTATATATGAATAAAAAAACTAACAATTTTCCATTTAGGGATATTGGATTTTTCCATTCTGGGATTTGTCATTTAAATAGGCAATTTATTAACTAAAGACAATAAAATTGTAAGCAAATAGGTAAGAGGGAAATCTGAGTATGTCACTTAGAACTGCATTATGAAGGGAACTCACTCTATGGTATATCCAAGGCTGCACCAATCAGAGAGCATCAAAATTCCCAATTACTTCATAAAGAAAGATCTTGTTCACTCAATGTCCTTAATACCTCATTTTGACAGACACAAAAAGCTTTGAGTGCTTACAATATCTCTATTGATATTAAATGGCAGAGTCAAAGGTCAAGAGTCAAATGCTGCTCTGTTCTTGTCTTGAGATCATTTGCACAACAGACATCAACTTGAAATCCTGGCACCTGTTGCAGAGTACAATCGATTTAATAAAAAATCAAAGAAATTTGAAGTTTGATCCTCATAAATACTACCACACAGGTCATATATATTTTTTAAAAACATTTCTTGTTTTATTTACATGTACAGCACAGAGACATGAGCTGCAAAAGAGACACAAAGAATTACTACAGAGTTGTCAGATGAAGCCTCACAATTTACCCATAGTGGAGGCTCAGATTGAGAGAGAGAAAGAGGTATCAAATACAAATAATTTAATTTTGTTTGTTTTCTAGTCTCTCATTGGTTGATTACCAAAAAGGAACGCAAATTATTTCTTGATAACCTGGTTTGGTATGGGGACACACCCCCTCGACAACCAGCTGAATCATCTGTATCCATACAATCCCCTCATTTCCAGTCCTTGGAATTCATGGGAAATTCCAGATTGAATAAATGTACTTTTAACTTCAAACAGTAGCTCGATCTTACCTCGTGTACACAAACATCATGACTGCTAGATCTGTATATCATTTATTACTTCCCCTTGTTTCATATCACCTCTGTTAATAGGGATGTATTATTGACCGGCAAATTTGAACTCATAAAAAGCCATACAATTTTACTCTCACAGTTGTTTAATGATTTTAAAATTAAATTATAAGGAATGACTAGGATTATAAAGCATAAACTGACCCAAACCAGGTTATACTCGAATAATTTGGCCAAGAATTAGAGTCATTCCTTAAATGGATTCAAAATGTTTCAGAAATTTAACTGAGTTTATAAAGAAAAAATATTAATACATATTCAAATATAAAAATAATGAAACACTGCTTGAAAAGGTCTGGATCTTCACTTATAATTTTGTGTATACAGTAAAACTCGGTTATAACGAAGTCACTCGGACCTGTGAAATTACCTTGCTATATCAGTAATTCATTATAACCGTATAAGAAAGACATTAAATTTATATAGCTGGGGATCCAAGATGATTTTGCTATATCCATAAATTCGCAATATCTGTGTTCATACTAAATGAGTTTTGCTGTATCCCAGTCTTAGAAAACGAATTAAATTTTATCTAGTTTTCTGTATAGCAGCAGACCTATAACTCTTTGGTCAGAAAAGAATAGAAAAAATGAGAGGGCTAGTACCAGTCATAGAAAAAAAAACCTATTAAATTTAAAGAGCACAACAAGTTGCCCCTTATCTGGAAAAATATTTATTATATTCCAATATAGATTTTAGACTTCAGATTTCTGATGTTTAAGTCTTCAATCATTAATGAAGATTATAATGTAAGCATCTTATGCTTCTTATTTTCAGACGATGGAGAAGAGATGTGAAGAAGAGGTGAAGAAGAAGGACATGAAGATAATCATGGAGCTGGATCAGAAGGTGATGGATCAGCAGGTCATGTTGGAGAAGGCGGGAGTTCCGGGGTTCTACGTCACCAACAAGAGCATTGACGTCAGACTACAGATGTATCTCCTGGAATTTATCACAAGGATGGGACATATGCAGCCACCTTGAAGCACATATTAGAGAGTTATTATTTTTTATTTATCATCCCAAAATCTATTTATCAGTTTTGATTATGAAGATTGATGAATTTTGATGGAATGTTGGATTCAGATCTATAGAATTTTTGTAATGAAGTTCAGTTCCACTGATAATATAAAATGTATTCCCAGCATTCATTTTTTGTCTGTAGATTTTTTTAAAAGCAATTTATTCAGAATCAATTTATCTTTGAAAAGTAATGATTGTCAGCTCTTTTCATAAGCATTTCGCTTTTTCTTGTTAATTTGCCTTGTATATGAATATTTTCATTCATTGATTGTTATATTGGAATAAAATAACAATAGAAGAATTTTAAAATAAATTTATAATTCAGATAAAAGTTATGAACAATGCCTTATTTCTATATTACAGATTTTGATCAAAATAAAAATAAATATACAATTTCATGATCAAAGTAAACCTTTGTATAAAATGGAGGGATCAGAATATGACATATATAACTTTTTTGATGTGATATCTTACATGTATATTGTCAACTATCATTTGGCATAGAAAGATTTCATTCATTTTAGTTTTAAAATTTGATTATTTGTGTATATCTTAACATGTATCCCTTCAAATATTCTGAAAATGGCAACAACCACTGCCTTCTTAAGATATACTTTTTAGTGGCCCTTTGAGACGGAACCTTAAGGTTCATTGATACTCTGATAAGAGAGATAACTCTTAATGACATAAATGTCTATTATTCCTTTATATTTGTTGTCAAGTTGAAAAAATGTCTTTATTGGCTAAATTTACCCCACAAGCCATGAGACAACTGTTTGTACATGTATTAAATTGTACTCATAAAACTCATTTCTTTAGGATAATCATGAGCAATTTTAAAATTAAAGCAATATCTTAAATGTGTACATGTAAACAGAGTGTTTATGAACCTTAAATACTTATTATGTGTGCTCGATATTAACTGTTTATATTTACATTTGCAAATATCTTTTTTAGATAACCTGTTGAAGAGAAAATACGTTCAATTCTGTGTGAATTTCATTTGGCGGTCGGGAGTTCATAGCGCGACCGGATCACAGAGCGATGTGATATTTTGACCAAACAACTTCTAGGTCATTGTGCGTCACTACATAGCAATACTTTGGCCCGTGTAATAAATACAATTTAACTCGAAATGTATTCGTTTCAAATGTAAATATAAGTAATAAACAACAATGTTTAAAAGTTCACTGGGAAATGAACATTTAGTTGGTACATGATCAAATCTACTGAGAAACCCTTCGGGCTTCACAGGATTTGAACACGTGACCAACTAAAAGTTCATTTCCCAGAGAACTTTTTAACATTGTTGTTTATTTCTTAAGTAATCCCTTTTTTGTCTTTCCTTAATATCTAAAAGGATATTTAATGAGCTTGAATCTCAGATTTGACTGTGTATTTCTTTTATCAAATAAGGGCAATAAATATCAGACTTTCAAAATGAATTACTGTATACAGGGAAATTTTCGTCCTACAGTCATTTGGGCGAATTTGAAACGGGGCGAATTCAAAGAATATAATATAATTTCTTAAACAAAACTATGACTGGGCGAATTTCAAACGGGGCAAAATTGTTTGTAAGTGTGAAAGGGCGAAAATAACCCTGTATACAGTACTTATACCAATTAAAAAGAAACATTTTGAAATAAATACACAAAATTAAACTTGGTAATTTTATTTACTAGTATATATATGATTAAATGTTTATGTTATCTCTACACACATTCATAGATATTGTTGTAAATATACTTCATAAAACATGGAAAAAAATAATCATTATAGTGATATCAAGTAATAATTTTTTTTGTCTGGAATACGGCATATGACTAATGGACTTTTACGTGAAGCACTGACTTTTACAATTGACAAATTGCTCTCACACTAGGACATTGTGCGGAAGCTCTTTTACGATATAAAAATTTAGCTCAATGAAACAATGGGCTATTTCAAAGCACAGATGAGTTGTCCTTGATGAATAGGACAATCATCATACCCTCAAATCCAGACCTTCACATATAAGTACCCCTAACACCATTACTATGACCATTAGAAAGGTTTCTCTATTCATTATCAATTCTGTACCTCCGTAGATGACACAGATATAAATGTCCAAGTAAACAGTCAACTGAAAAAGTTAGTGCTTCTGGTAAAATTCCAATGCAATGTATATCATTTGATGTCTAAATGAAATGAAATGGAAGCATGAAAAAAAAAACAAAACTTGGAACAGTTATTTCCCCAATTTTTTTTTCTGTTGAGAATTTATTTAACCAAAAACGTTTGTTTGTATCAGAACGTTTTGTCAGACATTAGAGGATTTTAGGGTCTACTTTGTTGCGCGATATATATTTCAAAGTCCCCCCCCCCCAAAAAAAAAAAAAAAATCAACAGGAAAACAATTACCAAATGTGCATTAGAAAAGATGTAAAGTCAACATTATAAACGCTGATGCGGGGCTATATATTTGATATTAAAAGAAGTTATAAAAAACCCACAAAAAAGATCAACATGGTTCAAAAAATGACACATCTAAGGTAAAGGACTAAAATCATAAGTCTAACATATGATGTGTATAATGAGGAGTCCTTTAAATATGTAGCTTTTGTAATATACATATAAAAACTAACAGACCTTAAAACAAACAATTTTTCCAGATGAATGTTTTAAGGTATTACCTATTATTACCAGTAAAAAAATCGATTTCAACCCCTCATCCCATTGGCATAAACAATTTACAACTTGAATAATTCAAGCAGATTTTAAATAATATCTCCTATACGTTATACATGTATTCTAAGATAAAATAAGTTACAGTTAAAAGCTGATAGAAAATTAGGCCACGTTACTACAAAAAGTTAATCATCTTAATTGTTATATTTTGTTCGATGGCATACATGTATTGCGTTCTTTAAATTGTCATTTAAAATACCGGTATTACTGCATGAATCTTGGTAAAATATTTTCAAGGAAACTATTTTTTAAACGGATTTATTTAAGGTCAGACGACACATTGCTCAAATATGTGTTTTGTATTTCTTGGTATTATATAAAAAATATTCATATTTATCCTCTTCTGATGTCTACATTGTTTTTAAAATAATTTTAAATATAACACTGTATAAGTTCACCAAAATTGTGATTTAAGTAAGTCAGAAGATTACACATAAGGGTTATATAAGAAATATGACCCTGTGGTATCTTGTCCAAATGCCTGGTAAGATACACTAATCTTTTGTGAGGAAACTTGTTTAAATACATAAACTTCAATGACAAATTCGTTATTGAAATTAAATATTTTTAAGGAACGTGTCATCAGACCTTAAAACAAGAATTTGTCGAACTTTTGTTTAAAAAAAAAGCATAAATCATTTATTTAATTATTACTGTACTAGTGTAGGAAGTGTAGAAAGGGTCGGAATAAAACACACATCGTATTGATAACAAAGATCAGATATAAAAAGATATATTCATACAAAGCTGAAAAATATACTTTAATTTAACTTCACGATATTACTGCAATATCGACCATGTGTCTTGCGTTCTTTAAACTGTCATTTGAAATACCTGTATTATCATATGATTCTAGGTAAAATATTTTCAAAGAAATTAATTTTTTAAATGGATTTTAAAGTAATGCAAATAAAAAATTATGATTTAAAACTCAATTTTTTCGAAATTTTGCTAAAAACATAGTTCATTTAATTAACAATCATTTTACCTTGATGAAGCGTAGAAAGGGTAGGGATAAAACGCACATCGAATTGATAACAAAAAATGAACTTGATTAATAACTCCGATATTACTGCGATATCAACCTTATGTGTTCAGCGAAGAAGCAACAACGAAGGATCAGATCAGAGCATGTTAAGATTTTCCAGTTTTTCTTGACTATAGGAATTAAAATGTACATGATGAATAGTAAGTGCTGCGCAGAATGTTTAAGGTTTGAAATAACTTTCGAATCCCTTAAGTTTCATAACCTGATGAGTCATTGCTGAAACTTTGGCTGCTGCTTGTGCATATCCTAGATAATTTTTCTGGATCCTAAGAAAAAATACATTGAACTTTAAAATAATTCTAAATGAAGCATCAACAATTATTTTCAAAATGAAACCAACAATAATTAAATTGATCAATAAAAAAGACGACATTGGTTAGTTACAAATAGCAATAAATTAATTCTGATAAAATTTCTAATTCATATTTAAATTTTTGGTGTAAATTGCTTACCGGGTACCAATAGTATAGCAGGTCATCACGGACTATGAAGTGTTCTTTATGGTTTTCGCGGGACAATGCATTTGGACAAATTCTTTTGTTGGTTTTCAGTTCTGCAACTGTTTTTTCGCTTAAGAAACAGTCCTCATCTTCTTCAGTGATATTTATGTTTCTACACGGGTATCCAACTTCATAAAAAACTTGGTGATGGAATGTAGATGTTATTTCATTCATCATTTTTTCAATTTTGGACCTGATCTTTTTGGTTTTTTTATTTTTCAGCTGGATTGCTTTACCTGGAGTTAACACTTGCAACTGAATTGACGTTTTGTTTACTGCAATAGCAATGTGTCGATCACCTCCTTTTTCTTTGTAAAAGGCAATATTTTTACAGAGCAGATTTTCTCCTAATGGTTCCCACTCATCGAAGCATATGGCTACTAGTCTAAAGAAAAAGAAATGTGGGATGAAAGTTTTAAAGGAAAACACTAAAACTGGGGTTTTGTTGCCGATCTCTAAGATCCCCTTTTTCGAGAACTCAGTTTTATTAAGGCTAGGTATGTAGTAAACAAGTTCCGTTTTCCCTCCAGTCAGATCTTTGTCATTTCTTTTCTCAGTCAATTCAATTTTCCCCAATGTAGCAAGGATGCCGAGTTTTTGCATGAAAGGAATTAGAATTTGTTTATGAGTGGCGTATAAAGATTTTTCTTTCCATATCTTGACAAGTGTTAAATCTTGAATTCTTCCGGTACTCATAAATTCCTTCCATTCCTTCTGCCTTTCACAATGGGGTTCGGCATGGGTTGGGTCAGTAATGATATTTTTAAATGCATCCACAAACCACTGCACGTCAAGTATAATATTTTTCTTCAGATTTCTATCAGCAAAGTAAATAATAAGGCCTATATCTTTGAAATATTGAAGCATGTCGTCTAATTCATTTTCTTTTAAAGATCTAAAAACGTCTTTTTCTTGTAATTCTTTTCTGCTTATAATAATCTTTTCTTTC